CCTCCCCCACCCTCCCCTCCCTGTCCCATCCAAGGGGCTGGCTGTCTGCAAGCCTCTGGCCTATTTGTAAAGAGAAGGATAATCTCCCCTCTCCATTTCTACTCAGGTAAATTGGTGTTGCCTTCCTCTCTAATTCTTCCTGAGAGTATTAATTTGCCTTCTGTTGGCCAGCCAATCAGCCGTCTCCGGGATTAAAGCTAGGAAAAAACCACACACACACACACACACACACACACACACACACACACACACAGAGAGAGAGAGAGAGAGAGAGAGAGAGAGAGAGAGAGAGAGAGAGAGAGAGAATCAGACACATTTTGAGACTTTTTGAAATGAAGATACAGAAGCAGCAAGAACAAGGATAGATGATCAGAATGAGCCAAGAGCTGAACACTCGCCTCTATATTCTCTAGTGAATGATCATTGTACAATCCAGTTAAACAGAGAGGGGGTAGTGGGGTTGAAAGGCCCCTAGTCCACAGTAACTCAAAAGCATGCTAGGTTTGAAGACAGACCAGATCATCTACATCTAGTAATATAAAAGAACTCTCCTCCTCACAGAACAACCAGAAAAATGACAAGAAGTTGTAACCCGTGCTTTCAGCTTTTCAGTCAAGTCTGCCTTGCAGCTAATCCTAAAGTCTCATGTTCTCTCTCACCAGCCCCTCTGCTTTGGGCTTTGATGTTGCATCATTCTCCCACCCCCCAGGAGTCCAGGTGAAGGCTGAGCTGTCTCCAGAGTACCATTTGAGGCATCCCCAGACTCTGCCTCTTACCTGCAGAATCCACGTTGTCCGCAGGCACGCTCTGGGTGGAAGCTGGGGCTGGGTCCTTAACTCCGTGCACCTGGCCATCTTCTTCCTGGCCCGTCAGAAACGCGGGGCACAGATCAGACTCGAGGGCTTGGAGCTTCAGCAAGGAATTCTGCCAACAGAAGCAGAACATGAAGCCAGCTAAGCGGACGCCTAACACACAGCACCGGGTCTGGGTCTGCAGCTCTCCAGCACCTTTCTCCGGTGCCTGGCAGGAAAAGGACCTCCGCAGCTGCTTCAGGAAAAGGAGCTGGTGTCCGAGTCAGATGCGCATTGGTCCACGTGCAGCCTCAATGTCTGGCTCATTGAAATCCTAACGTAAACGGTTTATCTGTGACACACGGGACCTGTGATTTCGTCAGCAAGAGACTCTGCATCTGGAGAGCCAATCTCAGAAGGTGTCTGCTTCCCAAGTGTAGAGGCTTTCTTTAACGCTCCGCAACTGTTTCACTCACTGTGCTGACATCAGGAGCCAGATATTAGGCCACTCCCAGGCTACCATTCATAAAAGCCACGGTCCCTCCAAGACACCGGACTGCGGCAGACCGCGGCACACAAAGAGTTACTGCTGCAGAGGCTGCCTGGCGTGCAGGAGGGGCTTCTGCGCTCCCTCAGCCAGCTGCACACGCTGCCGCCTTCTAAAGTTACTTCTCTTGCAGGGGATGCTGCGGCTACCTCCTCCGGAGAACAGAGTCTAGGGAGACAGCCCTGGTCCCTTTAGCCTAACTTAGCTACTTGAGGGAGAGCAATTGATCCTTTCCAGCCTACGGTCCAATCTCCCGCCTACCCCTTCATGTCGCACTTGAAATTTCTCCCAGGTTCTTCTTAGTAAGAACAAGTCACGCAGACTGACGCACCTATGATGCAGCAGCCCAGCACACTGATTCCCCCGGGGCAGGTGAATATGAGTCATGCCTGAGTCCCTGCTGGGCACCTCGGACCCCACAGTGGGACAGCTCAGCGGGTCACAGGAGCAATTCCACCCACCTCCATCCAGCTGTGGTGGGGCGGCCATGGGGGAGCTGGGCAAGTGGTTATTCTCCTACCCAAACCTCCCAACATATGCACACTCACACTACTCGCCTCCTCACATATGCCACACAGGCACACACTGGAGCGCCCCACTCTACAGCTCCACCCCTGCCTGTCCCATATACCACACACACACACACACACACACAACCTCCCACAGCCTTGCTCCTAACACCACACCCACACACATATACTCTAACCTCCAAATGGCCTCGCTCGCACTGTATCTGTGCCTTTTCACCCCAACCTCAACCCACACTTACATACCCTGTTCTACACACACATCCCGCACTCTACCTACCACGCTCTCATACCCATATAACCCCACACACACTCTTCCGCCTATCCCACACATACACTTCCACACCCTTCTCCTCTCCTTCATGTGTGTCCACTACCTGCACATCAACCCCCGTTCCTTCACACTGTGCCTCTAATTCACACCCCTGCCTTATATACACTCTCATATGCACACCTACCCCAGCATCTCCCCCCACATCACTCTCTCCCTTCTACCTGTACCAGCCGCCCCCACCCCACCCCCCATACCCTCATCCACTGAGCAGATGCTACAGCAGTGTCTTTACACGACACTCCCTGAGGGATGTCTGAAACTTCCCTGGACATTTTGAAGTCAGTGGGCACCTTAGCAGCTCAGGTCCCTCCTCCACCATGCACAGATAGGCTCATGAGCTGACAGGAACAACATCAGCCCTCAGAGGTGATTCCTAACAACCCCAGCTCAGACAAAGCACCATGGCCTTAGAGTAGATGACTTCCAGGGCCCTCTTCTGTCTGGACATGTCTCCAGCAGCTGAGAGGCCAAGGTTACTGTGAGGAGAAGTACAAAAGAACAAAGGCACCAAGTTTCCAGAAGAATCTAGTCATTAGCAACCGATCAGCTGGTGGACACCAAGGATGATTTCAAGGAAAGTCACCACCAGGACACCAGGGTGGGCTCTTCAAAAGCACACTGAAGAGTTAGACGATGTCATGGAAATGTGACATGATTGGTCACTGTAGGAAATACCATGGTGGGCCCTGATCCTGAGAATATAAATAGCATATAATACAACTCCATTGTTGGGTATGTACCCAAAAGAATTGAAAGTGAAGGCTCAGACAGGTCTATACACACCCACATCTATAGCATTTCAAGAGCTTAGAGGTGTTGCGGGCTGAATTTTGTCTCCAAAGTTTCTCTATTGAAACTCCTTTCTCAATGTGACTATTCTTAAAGATGAGGCCTTTAAAGATGTAAATAAAGCCATAAGGATCAGAACCCAAGCCAATAAGACTGATGTCCTCATAAAAGCCAGAGACCATGGGGACAGTCATATATGGAAGGCTCTATGAGTGTCCCATTTGAAAGCAACTATCTATAAGCCAAGGAGGAAAAACCAAAGCAGCTGGCTCCTTGACCTTGAATTTCCCATTGCTGTAGATGTAACCAACCGTCTTATTAAATAAGAAACACAGAACCAATGTAAAAGAGAAAGCCGAGAGGTCAGAGCTCAGAGCTAAAATCTCACCC